CCACCCAGAGGCGGCGGCGCCAGCTCCGGCAGCCAAAGCCGGTGGCGGGGCGTGTGGCTTGGAAGCCCAGCCACGGAGAGGCGTCCAAACCAGACGCCAGGCCATAGGCTCTAGCTGCCAGATCTAGCGCCTTCGCCTATGGGTGGGCGTCCAGTTCAGGCGCCTGCCCACTGGCTATGGCTGCCGGATCTGGCGCCACCGCCAGTAGGTGGGCGTCCTGGCCAGGCACCCCACCTCCCGTATATAATTTTTTAAAAAAAATTAAAACCATTTCGAATTTTCAAACCATTTCGAATTTTTTTTTTATACAATTTCGCCATTTCAAATTTAAAACCATTTCGAATTTTCAAATTTAAATCCATTTCGAATTTTCAAATTTAAAACCATTTCGAATTGTCAAATTTAAAACAATTTCGAATTTTCAAATTTAAAACCATTTCGAATTTTTTTTAATACAATTTCGAATTTTCGAATTTAAAAAAAAACCATTTCGAATTTTCGAATTAAAAAAAAAAACCATTTTGAATTTTCAAACTTAATTTAAAAAAAACCATTTCGAATTTTCAAACTTAATTTAAAAAAAAAACCATTTCAAATTTTCAAACTTAATTTTTAAAAAAAAAAAACCATTTCGAATTTTCAAATTTAAAACCATTTCGAATTTTTTTTTATATACAATTTCGAATTTTCAAATTTAAAAAAAAAAAACCACAAAAAAAAAATACATTGCAGGGGCGGCGTCTGGCAGAAACGCTAGAGCCATGGAGATGGCGCCTGGCAGGGCCGCCACATCCATAGGACTGGCGCCTGGCCAGGACGCTTGTGTGGTGGTTCTGGCGTCTGGGCTTGACGTCGGTGCCGTGGTTGTGGCGTCTGGCTTGGACGTCCATGCTACGGTAGTGGCGTCCAATTTAGGTGTCGGCTCCAATGCACAGGCACCTCTTTCAGACGCCGTTCCGTACAACGTGAATTTTAACGGTACTTTACCTCGTTTTCCGTCGACGACGACGTACCTCCGGCGTCCCCCGCATCTCCGGCCTGCCCTCCGGTCTCCCCCGGCGACCCAGTATGGCTCCACATTTTTGAAATCGAGATTTGGTCAATTTGACTACAATTTTAGAAATGAGCAAAATTGTCAAACCAAGTCTAATTTGTGGGCTTTATATAGAAAATTGTAGGCGATGTTTAACAAATCCCAATAATAAAGGAAAAAAGGGATTCTCTTTGGAGTTGGTGGGGTCTAAACACTTAATGAAGGAAGGTACGAAGTATGTGAATTTCTTCTAATATCGGATCTTTCGGATTTCGAATATACGAAATTCAATATTTGGATATTCGATATCCGATTTTTTGGGTTGGAAATCCGATCTGAAATTGATTTTGTATCGGATATCCATAATTTCTGAATAGGATGCGGATCAGATTATTGAATTCCAAGATAGTGTTGCTCTGCCCTACTAAGTTGTAGGTTGGAACATAGATTAGTTAAGAATTACAAAGCAAGAAGATACAACTTTTTTTTTACATGAGCAATTAATAGAAAAATGAATTACAAATTAAACTACGAAATAAGTATGCCAAACTACTTAGAGGAGCTTTACTAGCTTCAATGTAACAAATAATATAATTAAAACTTAAGTACATCATCTCTAAAACAAATTGCCGACTTGAAAACTCAAGTATTTGCCATTGAACTAGGATATAGAAGATATAACTTACTAATAAAAATTAGGATATAAACTATAATATGTGGATATCTTTTAAACAAAGTAAGAATTTTTTCATATCAATTTTTTTCATATACTAGTATATTTTAAACAAATTAAGAAAGTTTTCATACCTTATCAATCATTACGTTGTCATTTCGAACAGACATTGTGATCAACTATTTTGTAAGCGTTCATCTAGTGAAATCCTTGGCATTCTTCTTTGCTAAAAAAGGAAATTTTTTTGGTGACACCCCACTACTTATTTTTCTCTTTGGTAAATTGGAAAAAAATATTAAAATTTTTGAAAATCATTAAAAAAAATTTATCACCAAATATAATAACTATTTTAATTAAAATACTTAACCATAGTTAGTTTTTTAATAATCAATATTTTTTTTTATATTAAAACCACCCCTCCCCCTCCCCCCACCAGCCAACCACCATCTCCCCTGGCCTCCCTTTCCCTGTCGGCGCCCAACATACCTTCCTATGGGACTTCCCCTCATCGACCGACCCTACCCCGACACCCCAGCCTCCTACTACAACTAGGAAACCTACTCCTAACTTGTAAAGAAAAAGTTTTGCAAATATGATCTTTAATGCTAATATATCTTCTAATAATTATTGAACGACAAACTTTCATATGTGGCTGGTTACACCGCCAACCACATTTTTTTTTTTTGAAAGAATTGTTCGGGTTACTTCGTCAGAGGTTACTTGACCAGTCAGGGGTTACTTACTCGATCAAGGGTTACTCGGTCAGTCATGAGTTACTAGGTTAGGGGTTTCTCAGTCAGGAGTTACTCGTGTGTTAGCTAGCCACACGGTGTGGCCAACCACACTTTAAAGTTGCTAACTAAATTATATTAACAATTATATCCTAATTAATTATAAAAATAAAAGACTAAATCTTTTAACCATGCATATCGGTGAAATCTTGGTTTGAGGTGTAATTTATAGCCCAAACCAATACCAAATCATATTAATTCGATTTGGGATTATTCAAACCGCACCGCACCATATTATTATTCAGTCCAAACCAAACCACGGCGTTTTTTAATTCGGTTTTCAAAACAAAAAACAAACCGCAGCGCGTTATTTGGGCTTTGGGTTTTTAGCTTTACTAGTTTTAAACCCAGGCGATGTCCCGGAGCATTATGAATATATTAAAACTAATTTTTATTATAATTAGGTGATATATTAACATAAATTAGTTATATTTTTTTTTTTAGATTAATTATTTTTATAATAGAACTTGTATCATTAATTTATTTTTTTTCAACTTTATTGAACATTAAAATTCATCATCTATTATTGAGTATCCTAGATATTATTAGTTTATTTCGTTCTTCAATTATTAAAAACTCCTTAAAATTGACATATATGTGGAAAAAATTAGCATAAAAAGTGCAACATATTTTTAGGTTACGTATTCAAATAATTATAGGGTTGTCTGTGTCTGAACATATGAAAAAGATGATATCATTTTCGTTATTATAAATTGTTGAAAATATACATGGATAAAATCTATATGTATTATTAATTTTGAAATTTATGAACACAACTAACTCTTTGAATATAAAATTTGTTGACACAAGTCTGTAGAGTGGTGGTAAAACTTGAATTATAAATAACATAAGCTCATGGATTTAAATATCAATGCTAACAATTTTTGTTTGAGGGAATAATAATGATCATTAATAGACTAGTATTACATGGCGTAACATCATATGCCAAATGACAAATTAAAATTGCATGTCTTGCCATGAGTTTTAATTTTATATATATATATTGAATTGATATTGATATTGATTTGTAACTTTTTTTGGCCCTGACTCAACATAATTTGTTTTTGGCGCCTTATATAATAGGGCTGAACATCAAATTTGGGCTATAATTTAGATATGGACCTATATTTCGGTTTGATTTTCGATTTTTCGTTATTTCAAATCTTAAAACCAAAACCAAACTACAAACCGTAATTTTTTAATTTATCAAATCACACTGAATCATATTAACAAAAAAAATCGAACCGCATTACTAATTCGGTTTGGTTTGCGATTTAGTTCGATTTTAAACCGTATTAGTTTAACTTCTAATTACAGCAAAAGAAAAAAAATCTTATATGTCAGACATTTAAATGAGCGACACCTCATAAATAGCCAACATTATCTTTTAATGATAACTAATGTGGCTATCGCGCGCAATGCACACACCATAAGTCCATAACTAGTCATCTACGAGAAGGTCTTTTAGTTGTTAAAAAAAATATTTTAAAAGGTATAAATGTCCGCAAACTATAAGAGTTTGAAAAAGGCAATAACATGAATGAGGGCAAATAAGTAAGTAAACATTTTAGAGGTATAATTGTCCAAGCACTATTTATAAGAGTTAAATCATTAAATCAAACAAAAAAAAAGTTTAGAGGCAATTAACATCACAATATTATTGTCCTCAAACTACTCACACTATTCATAAGTGTTTTTTCATACTTTTTATAAGATACGGATAGAGATAGGGATTTACAATGGTTGTCTAAACGGATCCTTTTACTCCAATAAATCAGCTACTAGTTTACACCTTACTCTTGCATGAACCACTTTAGTACTGCTTTACTTTTACAAAAACTTTTATTTGCAGAATTTTTCATGTGACATACTGTATTATGTAAACCATTATATCTGTACTAATCTATATTAAAAGACATTTCTAAGAAAGTCTATGGAGTTGTTTAGTTACACAAAGAAAATGGAAAAAGTGAAAAATTATGGGAATTTGAAAATGAAGGACTAGTTTGGTTGACAATAAAAAGTGTAAACGAGGGAATTGCAAATTTATGGGAATTGTGACTTCCCACAAAACATGGAAGTTAATTACCCAACCCCCCCTAAGTAAGTCAAAATTCTCATGATTTACAACTTCCTTCATTCCAACCAAACAACTTTATGCAATTCCCATGAATTTGATGAAGTAATTTAATTCCCATGAAATACAAATTCCTATGGGAATTTACTTCCCATAGCAACCAAACGACACATATATGTCACGTAGACCTCTCATTACGCTACGTCACCCACTCAACTTTTTTATTACGCCACGTCACCCACTCAATATCACGTGGTTTTTCCTTCCATTTGTTTCTCATTGCATGTCATACACTTATAATATAAAAAAAATAAAAAAATAAAATAAAATAAAAAGTACTTCATAAGATTTGAACATGCAATATCTAATTTTTAAAACCAAGTGTCTTACCACAAAAATATGTGATATTTTATGCTATACTTTGGATACAACATATTAATATGTATTAAAAATTTAATTACAAGAAACAATATACCAATCCGGAGCATCGTCCGGGCCCAAATACTAGTTGCTATGGTTCAACTAAAATGGTTCAACTCACAAGTTTATTCAACAATAACTTACTAGAGCAATACAGTTGATCCAAATTACACATTAAATAACTCTTACCACCTCCTCCGGCCTTCCTTTCCCTCAACGTTACCGGTGAAACCCCCTCGACTCTTCTTCCTACTGCTAATGCCACTGCTAACATCCTATCAGTCGGAGTAGTAGTATCACTGTCACTATCTTTCATGACATACACTGACTGTTACTAAACCCAAGCTTCTGCAGGCAGAAGTATCCAATTCTACCTAAATTTAGCCACTGTAAGCAACTAAGCATGGACATAAATAAATAAATTCGTCAGAAGAACTAGTCAGAGCAACCTATCATACTAGTCATAGCATGCTAATTTTGGATAAGCATAGTATTGATGAAACACATTGCAATTTCTACAATAATGATGCAGCAAACGGTGCCAGTCTCTTTTTGGCAACCTTAGACCTATAGCACCATACCTCAAATGCCTCAGTTAAGTCGGGATACTGAATATGTTGATTATCCAACCATTCTGTTAAAATCTCCGACTGATCCACAGATGGCAACGCAAGTATGATCGAAACAAATGCAGACTCTAAGGTCTGCCACACCTCACAATCTATTTTCGGCTTCAAATTATCCTCCTCAGTATCAGATGGAGCAGTGTCGATCAAAGGCTTTGTAACTCTTGCAAAGGGGAGCCATAACTTTACCATGTGAAGCCTCTTTGCAGTTGGCAAAACAACATTTCCATACCCGACTGCTTCTAATACTTTTGTTGCTACCTCGACCACCTTCATCTTTATCTCAAGTATTTCTACTTTTGAACTTGCTTTCTCAATAAGCTTGACAATCATATCAGAAACCTCTAGCCAAAAAATCACTAAATCTCTCATTATTTCAAGTTTTGAAGATATTTGACATGCCCATGATAGATCCGATAAATATGATTGTAGCAGCTCAAACTTTTCAGCCTCAAAAACTGTTTCTTCAAGCTCATTCAATAAAGATTCTAGAAGAGCACTAAATCTCAATAAGAGTCTTTTAATACAGTCTCTCACCTCTAACTTCAGCTCATCACATGAAGTGAGAAGTGGAGCGTCATCATCCTCAGCAAGCATGTACTCTAGCTGCTCTTGAGCCGAAGATTTGAGATCCTTCAATGATGGAGGTGGTGATGAAGTGGCAAATCGAATGGCTGACGTAAATATCCTCCAAATGGCACCATGATCTACTGGTTGAAGGCGGGCTAGAATTGAGTTAGCTGTGGGTCCAATGGCCGGTATGGTATGTAGAATTTCTTCCTCCTCAGCCTCTTCCCAAGGGACAGCTTCCAGATACTCTACAGAAGAAGTAATAATTTGAGGGCATCCCAGTTCAACAGCCACTCGAAGGATGCCAAGGGTGTTTCGAACCCCATGCCAACTTTCAGAAATCAAGCTGTCAGAAACATAGAGGAGACGTAGGAGAGTGATATTGTAGTCAAAGTCAGATTCTTGGCAATGAACCTCAACACAGGTGCGTGCATCAAGGATCTGACATGTTGGCCAAGTGTCAGAGAGACGATCAGCAAAATACTTACTTTTCTTGACAAGGATGGAGGAATGGCAATATAGCCATTCGTCACGACCTTCAGGAGTCCGCAGCCTAACAACAACATCACTAGTTGGCCGGTCATTAAATTTGAATGAAGAAGCTAAACCATTCTCCTGCTCAAAGGACATTGAGGACCCAAATTGAAAGAGTTAGTATAGAAAATATGGTGTGCAACCAGCACATATATACACAAATGTATATTTTTACTCATTGGCCAACTTTTTCAAAATACATTAAACTTAGCCACACCTTCTTACTTGAGCTCAACTCAGGCTGTGAGTGCACTCAGAGGTAAGTCGCCAATTGTGCATTTCAAGCTTGAGTCAAGCTCAGGTCCAAGCTAATTTGAGCAAAACTGAGTTAATTCAGACTGAAGCTCCCTCAGCCCATTATCATCCATGGTACTAAAATTATTCTTGCAGCTCAAAGTTTTCAACAGGGTACAAAATGCATCCGGGTTTAAAGTTTTTACAAACATTCTATCACCCTATTCTATCCATAGTCAGTTGCTGAGAGACAACATAGCAGCAAATTCGGGAAAGGATAAAAGAAATAAGAACTGCATCATTAGTTTTCAATGAAAGAGCCAACTGGTCTAAATACTTACAGGCTTCTCCATTCAACTGACAGGAAGCTCTGGGCGTGAAGCAACCAATCATCACAACTACAGATTCACAAAACAATGAAGAGCAAGTTATAGTGATTAGCAGAATTTACAACACCTTGAGCCGATATAGATTAGCATGAAATAATATAAGGCGAATGATATTACTCTACGGTGGCTATCAAAGTCAGTAGGCACCATCAATAACTTAAATGAGTACATGCTGAATGAGACCAATCAGTAAGATCCCAATGAAGCTAGTCAGCTTATAAAGATAACACATCGATCACTACATCAACATGTTGTACATTGAGCAACAAAACAATGTCTTTCGTCAAACTGCAAAAAAGTCTTATATATCTAATTCTAGTTGAATTCATTTTACTCAAATGCACTAACTTCATATTCCCCCTTCGCACTTAAATGTTCTAATCATATCTCCTCTTCGTCACTTTGGCAAACTCAACTCCCATTAAAAAAAAAAAAATAAATAAATAAATAAAAAAAAAAGGAATGAAATTATGTATTCACCCTCTCATCAGGTAAAACTAGAAAAGTCAGTTTCCCAAAATGTCAATTCATAAACTATTATTCTAGTTATTCATTTTAATAGATTTCTCTAACAGCCATGCTCTTGCCATTAAGCACAAGCTCAACTTCTTCAGAAAGACATCAATTGAAATAATGCACTTGCTTTCTTATAAAAGTGTGTCACTATTTCTTTTCAGCTACAACAGTAAGATTATCAGTTTCCCAAACCATGTACAGTCAAGTGCATAGAATCCCCCCCCCCCCAATCTTCCTATTTAAAATTCATTTCCTATATAAGGGATTGAAAAGTAACATTATCATAAACGAAATGAGTAAAACAAATATAAGTATATAACCAACCCAATCACAGAAAAATAGTAAAAAGAAATATAATACAGGGAGTAGAATTTGACATCTATTAACAAACAGATCACCAGTAGCTTAATAAACTAACATGACCTAGTAAAACAATTTCCAGTCAAACTATTCATAAGTTAAGTGTAAAGGACAAATAAACATATTCAAGTCAAGAATTGGACAACCAACTCATAAGTCAGCGACTACAAATAAGGGCACATCCACATCCACTCGATTCTTGGAATCGCAGCACAAGATTCACCATTCCTTAGACCAGACCAGGAGAGAAAATGAAAATTTAAGACATAACTACATCTGCCTACAATATAAAAGGAATTTTTCCGTAAAATAGAAGCTTAAGAAATCAAACTGAATTTTGAGTTATACATGAACTCTGTTATTGGTCAGTCAAAGGGTTGATTGCTTCATTTGTTACTGCTTTGTCAGCACCAGGAATATTTGCAAGCATTATCAATTGATAGTATTAAAGAAATAATTAACAAGAGAGATAAGTAAATGCTGCATGTAAAAAGAAGAGCACATAAATCTCCATGTTCCTTTAGCATCCTCAAAATAAGCAGAATTGAATTATATCTTAAAGCATAACAAAGCTATAATCCAAAAACTCAAAGCCAGAGTACAACAATAATAGACGACATAACTCAAGGTTAACTAGAATCTTTACCACTAAAATGTCTCCTAAAGTGCTGACAAAAATTTGCTGATCTTTACCACTACAAAGTCTGTCTACAATGTGGTACTTGCTGAAGAAATTGATGCTTAAGACCCATAATCGTATAAGAAAGAGTCACTAATAATTGGCAGATCAGAACAGATATGTGCAGGTAGCTCGACTGCCTTACTGGCCATGGTACTCTAATTTTTACTCTAATTTTTACTACTCTCCCTTATTTCTTTCATTTGATTCATCCGCATAAGTTCTACAGATGTAGTTTAATCTTAAAACTTGTGCAAGATTCATCCACGATGGTTTTTTTTTTTTTTTCCTTTGGTTTAAAATCAGATCTCTTCTCTCTCACGAGACTCTAGCCTAGAAGCGGTTAAGGCGCTGTGCCTTGTGTCTTGCACTCCGCCGAAGGTGATTAGAGGTGCCCTGCAGCTGTAAGTCACTGGGACAGGGTGTGTCTGATGCGATTGGGTTTGCACTGCTCTTCACCTTTTGCCTAGGCGCATCGGAGGTCAGCTCTTCAAAACTAAGATCAACGTACTCATCACTATCATCTACATAAACATCATCTACGCCAATGTCTTCTTCCATCTCATCTTCATCATCCGATGTCATCATTCTAATAGATTTTTTGTGAGACAAGCTACTAGCATGACCCTGGAGGGCTTGGAGCCATGCCTAACCATCCTTGATGCCGCAGTGACATGGCTAGGATCACAAGTTCGGACAACTCCACCAACTGCACCCCAATTTGAATTATCACCATCAAACACAAAATTATCTTCATCGGCACAAGAGCTCTCATCCATTTTCCCAAGTAGCCACTCATTACAATCATCAATCTCTTCCAAGAGATTGGATTTGGCAGCGTCTTTCCTATTGTATCGGCATTGCAATGCACGATTGAATTTAACAAAGACCAGATCATTCAATCTACCTTGTGCCAATTTGTTTTTCTTATTAGTATGGAGCTGTTAGAAGTTAAATGTATAAGTTTATGTAATCAAAACTTAGTTCAATAAAAATAAAAATAAAAAGAAAATATCCACTTACAAGTTGAAAACCATCCCAATTCCTTTCACAACCAATAGCACTACATGTGAGGCTAAGAACTCTCATCGCAAACTTTTGGAGGTTGGGTGTTGAACATCCACCAACACTCCGCTATAAACAACCAAACATTGAAAAATTCAATAAGTAGCGTAAGACAACAAAGATGTCAATGATTGGCATTCCTAAATTCAATTTTTCTTTTTTTTTTTTTTTTTTTTTTACCTGGCGGTTTTGTCTTCCTTTGCCTAACAGCTATGGGTAGGCCAAAGAGACTGGAAGCATTTCGATATGCATCTAATTCAAAACTAATCTTGTCTTGTAGATCCAATTCTGGGACCAGCCGTGTAAGGCAATCAAGAAAACCCTTCATAACTTCCTCACAGCCTGATACATCAGGGTTATCGTAATGAGGTTCTGGATTTAGCAAATAGCCCACCGCATGCAAAGGTCGATGAAGTTGACAATTCCATCTTTCATCAATATACTCAAAGGCTTTCTTGTAGTGCTCCTCCGTAGTAAAACTATTAGCGATAGCTTCATTGGCTCTGTCCATAGCTTCATATATGTATCCCATGGATGGCTTTTTCTCTTGATCAAGCATTCTTAAAATCTTAATTAGTGGTCCCGACAACTTGAGAGCATAAACAACATTCTCCCAAAAGGTGTCTTGCAAAATAAAGGATGCAACTTTCTTTGCCCCCACTTCTTTTGGCCAGTTGGAGACATTTCATTCCTGAGATTTAACCATCTTCTTTAAGTTGTTTCTTTGCTTGTGAAATTGTGCAAGAGTAATGAAAGATGATGCGAATCTAGCGATTGTTGGCCGACAAAGAATCCCTTGATTTGTGAACCTTCTCATCATGTTCACTAGAGACACATGGCTATTTATAGTCATTGATGAAATTGCACTTCTTCAAGGCATCCTTAACTTTTGTAATTTTTCCAATATCCTCCAGCATGAGATCAATACAATGTGTCGCGCATGGAGTCCAATAAAGACATGGCCTATTGGCCTCTAGTAATCTTCCTAAATTTTTATAAAAATAGGAAAAAAAAAAAAAAAAATAATCAGATTCAAATTACTATCATGCCATGAATTGAAAAATGAAAAGAAAGAAGCTCATATTCTTACCTGCTTTAACATAAGTAGGTGTATAACTGGTCACCACTTGAACCACATTCTTCTCTCCAACTTCCTCCACCATGTTATCCAACATTTGAAATAGCGAGTTAACATCTTCCACAATTTCAGACACATCTATTGATTTTGTGAACACGGAGCCCTTCAAAGAGTTGACTAGAAAGTTCACAAAATCCTTTTCAGCAACTGAATCATGCCATCCATCAACTACAATTGAACAACCTTTTTGAGCCCACTCTTTTTTATGCTCCTTCATTTGCTTAAGAATGTCATCTACTTCCTTCTGAAGGAGGGGAGCTTCTAGCTCATGCACGCTTGATGGTTTCAAGCCAGGACCATATTGTCCAACTGATTCAATCATCTCTCCAAAACTTTCATAATTAGCAGCACTAAATGGTATTCCCGCATCATAAAACCACCTAGCTATATCTCTACATACTTTATCCCTAGACTCCTCATCACAATTACCTCGTTGCATCCCTTCATTCCCATTCTTTCTACGCTTGATTGCGTCTTCACGACTAGGAGTGAAGTACATGTCCACCTGACCCATTTTTCTTGGTCTTTTAGCCAGTTTACCCGAGCCACCTCCCTTCGAGTTCAATGTTTCACAATCTTCTTCCTCATCACTATAATCATCAACATCATATTGAGTTACCCTTGGTAATATTTGACCACCACTCTTTGCTAGTTGCTTCTTTATCATAAAAGACTTCACTTCCTCCTCTACATGCTCCGGAAAACTAAAGTATTTAGTCACATTTCTAAATCCTCCGACCAAATGTTGCTTTAAACGGTAAGCCCCTCCCTTAGTTACTTTACCACAAAAGTTGCAAGTAAAATTGTTCCTATTATTAGGTTCCGGCCTTCCATATTTCCCTGCCGGATCCTTAGGGTCCAATGAACACAGAGAGGAAATCGCCAAATCCAAATTACCAGAATTCATCATCTTAATTCTCAAACAACTAAACAACAAGCTGAAAACACAAAAAATACCCAAAATAAACAAAAGACCTACCATACTACCAATTGAACAAAAAAGAAAGATAAAAATATCATATACCTCAAATGAGCATCAAGGAGAGTCAGCACAGTCGAGCCGGCGAACTCGGAGATCACTACCGAACAACGCTGGTATGGTATACTGCAGCAGGGCACAGCTAGGGTTTTCCGGCCTTCGAAGGACAGAGAATTGAGATCCAAAGGAGTTTTTTTTTTTTTTTTTTCCCTTCTATGTATTCAATTAGATGTTTAAATAAAATAAAATTGGTTGGTCCCTCAAAAAATTATACAGACGCGCATCAAACACCATAAAGCGCAGGCGGGTCGCCTTGCGCCTCCGCTAACTTGATTCAACTCTATAACAAACACATTTATACACCTTTATCCTTTGCATTCGGCTATTCCAAATATGAGCTTATAATAACAACTTGGTTTGTCAGAATCAGTGATTATTCTAATTAAAGCACAATAAAGCATAAAAATTGTACTCGTAGTTTGTTTTCAATTAATTGTATAATTCAAATCATTACCCAAATTCTAACACTCGAATTAACAATCTAAAAGAGTAATAGCAAAAAAAATAATGCATACAGATACACCAAATGATGATGAAAAATAAGCACAAGAATAAAAATCAAAGTATAATAAAAAATTATAAAAAAAAAAAAAAAAAAAAAGTAGAAAAATTAGTTAAATACCTTGAATTTAAGAGTTGCAATCTTGCATTGCATGATTAGATTAATATATTTGCACATAATTCCAAGGTTTGAAATTGGTAAAGCAATTGATTTGAGCAAACTACTTTCTCTCTCTCTTCGACTTTCACAGTATGAGTTGAGAGTTGAAAGTGTCTAATTTGTTGGAAAGAAGAGTGATAATATGAGATGAGCACGTGGAGTTTAACAGTTAGTTTTATGGCATTGTCACATATTGGGCCGGATTATATTTTCTCGGCCCGAAAATATTTATTGGATTTAGGCAAACATTTTTTAACGTTTAGTTAATTAGGCTTGAAATGCCGAAAATAACCATTTAATCACCAAAATAAGCAAAAAAAAATTTATATGAATCGCGGTGTGTATATAATAACTTTTTCTTCCTTGGTCCACAATACTCCTCATTACTACATCAATACTATCTATACTATGTATTAAAAGGGCTTCCTAAACAAGCCTACGTACCACGTGAGTACGTGACGTCTTCCTAAAAATAAGGATTCTACAAGATTTGAACCCACGACCATCAGCTTAAAAACTAAAGTGTTAACCACTAAACAATCACCATATTATATGTCATTTACCAAAATTAAATGTAAATAATCATGGAATTAATGCAATAACTCGGGGCATCGTCCGGACCTAAAAACTAGTTTTGAATTATACTTCGTATATCTCTTCTCATGATCCCCATTCTCACATTTTTGTTATTTTTCACATCTCAAATCCTAATATTTAGTTCACCAACAAACCACACTATCGATACAGTAAACACCCTATACAATTCTCTTAAAACTCCATGCAAAAGCTAGTGTGCCACTTACAAAATAAATAGAATACTTGGTAATTTTGGCATGTGAATGTGTTAAACTATAGTCTTCTCAAACAACACATATGACTGATGTGAGTGTCTTGTATTGATAATAAAAATAGACTTAAACACTTTACGGAGTACATGGTTGAGGTCTTAGGGGCTGCTACACTTTCTATTATCATATGGTTTAGAGATGGAACCTCCTTCGACTTGTAAAGTGGATTCTCTATTCTGATGGCAGGTGGGGCCCAAGCCCGTATTTAACATGATGCTAATTACTTAAATTGGTTACAATCTTGGACCAAAGAATTTCCATGTGAAAATAGATTACTTGCCTTGGAAAAACTCTTCATCCATATGATAAATTACTTCTAAAATTCTTGTAACTTTCTCCATGCCCCTATTCCTATGTGTTTTGCATTAATACGATCTTAAGTTGGGGAATGACATACTAATTCTTCATATGGAAGATCACCAATATTGCCCCGCCAATAATAGACAATTTTAAAAATGGAAGATAGAGATAAGGACTGATTGTAGACTTTGTACCAACAAGGAAGAATCTTCTACTCACCTCTTTACAGAATGCAAGATTTCAAGGAGAATATGGAGAAATATTATATTGGGTATTGTAGAATTGTGTAAATCTCCTTAATTGGAGTGTTCTCATTAGATTGATATATATAGGTACACAACCCTAATTCTAAGAGAAACATAATATTAACATATTTGCACAAAGTACATCATTTACATAATATCTGGTAGGCGTGTCGCGTACCTAACAAAATATAACCTAACTAACCACTACTATGTAGACTGGCAAGCAAGGGTCGAATCCCAAGAGACTAAGGTTCGAAAATAATTAAATAGACTCAAATTCCTACTAAGCAAGAATCAATAATGATCGATTAACTAAGGAAATAATGTGTGGAAAAATCAAAATTAAACTAAAGAATATGAAGAAATCAAATAATTAAAACATCCAAGATCAAGTATCACCACAATTACGAATGATGCAATTATATTTCTACCCCTAACATACAATTCCAATTGAACGGGGAAAAGTAAACCCTAATAAATACCAAAGACCTCTCTCGAGTATCAATGGCTTCCCTAACATACAATCAAGCCTATTCTCATGGTATCATGCATATTAGAGACATTAAACACATTACTCTAACTTCCCAATTATCAAACCCAACTACTCTCGTGTTGAGAATCAAACCCTAAATTGATTTACTCAAATCCGTTTAAACCCAACTCTCGTTGTGATAGAAACAATGGAATAATCGCAATACTAAAATTACGTCTAATCTAGCATTGGCATAATCACAATCAATTTAGCATAAGCAATTGCAAAAGTTATTAGAGAATTTAAAGATTTAATTCTTGCATCAATTATAATTGGGCTACCCTAGATCTTGGAATAGGGAATCTACTCACTCATAATTAAATAAACAAAAATAATAATAATTGAAGAAAACATAATTAAGAAACAAGAGATTAAAAGAAAATACCGAATCTTGAATTAAATTGAAGGTGAAAAGTATAAATCTTGAATCTTGAATTACAAAAGTAAAGAAAATAAAATAGAGAGAACTAGTTCTTAATAATGTGAATTAGAGAATAAAATAAAACTTAATTAATAATAAAACACTACTTAATGTATATATAGGCCTAGGAAGATAAAAAGATAAACATCTTTTCTTGGCGCACAAGGACTCCATGAGGCACGGACGTGCCTCTCCATAGGCACAGACGTGCCTCTATGCGTGCATAAACTGCTGTGGCTACTGACTTCCAGGCACGGACGTGCCTGCTCTGCTGCGCGTATCACTTATCTTAAATCAGTCATAACTTCATATCCGGAGCTCCGTTTGAGGCGTGTAATATATCGTTGGAAAGTTCTTCAAGTCTACTTTCCAATGCAATTTTAATCACTCCATTATCATTTGTATATCAAAAGTTATGAGCATAATAGTGAATAGGTGTCATATTTGTCAAGTATTTCATCAACGTTTTGCTTCATTTTCACTCAAGTTCGTCTCGAACACATGTTTTGATATTCTTAAGCAATATGTTTTCATACTCCATGGTTATTATACTCAAGATTAGCCAACCATACTCCATTTGCTTATAAATCACCTGAAATTCATCAAAACACACAAACGAAGAGTAGTTAGCACAACTTAAGCAAATAATGCAAATATGCACCAAAGATCTTTAATTTTGTAATCAAATAAGCTTAGATACCCACCTAAAACATGTGCAAAATAAGACCTATCAATATCCTAGAATATTTCAAATTCAATCACACCCCCGCAGTCGAAACGGGAGGAGGCCATATGCTGAGACTGGATCTTAAGTCAAGGAAAAGTTGTTGAGGTAAACTCTTAGTGAAAATGTCCGCATACTGATAAGAAGACGGAATATGCAATACCCGAATATGACCCATAACTACCTACTCTCGGATGAAATGGATATTCATTTCGACGTGCTTAGTGCGTTGGTGCTAAACGGGATTCCTAGATAAGTGCACGGTTGACACATTATCACAATAGACTAGGGTTGCCCACCTCAACGGACAATGTAGCTCTAGAAGTAGGTTTCGAAGCCAGCAGGTTTCGGCTACTACATTAGCGACGCCTCGACATTCTGCCTCTGCACTAGATCTTGCCAAGGTAGCTTGTCGTTTGGCATACCATGAAATAAGATTATCTCCCAAAATACGCAGTTTCCTGAAGTAGACTTGCGAGTATCCGGACTTCCGCCCCAATCGGCGTCCTTGTAGGAGATCAATCTATAAGGTGCAGAGCGATACAAATGAAGACCATGATCAAGAGACCCCTAGAGGTAACGAATAATGCGCTTCAAGGTGTTATAGTGAGGTTCTCTCATAGCATGCATGAACAAGCAAACCTGTTGTACGGCATAGAGGATGTCAGGTCTAGAGAATGTGAGGTATTGGAGAGCCCCGACCAAGCTCTTGTATAGTGACGGGTCAACAACAAAGGAGCCATCCGAAGCACTTAGCTTCAATTTGGTGTCAACCGGCGTGGCAACCGGTTTGCAATTTAACATTTAGCTCTGTAAATGATTTCTTCTGCATATTTCCTAAAGCATAGGAACATACTTTGTGGTGTTCATGTGACTGAGATACCCAAAAAATATCTCAAATTCCCCAAGTCGAACATAGCAAATTTTGATTTGAGTAAAGTGATGATTTCGGATTTCAGAGCTTCCATTGATGCTGTCAAAACAATATCATTAACATAAAGCAAGAGATATGTCGTAGTAGTGCCTCGGTGAAAAATAAATAAGGAGTTATCACTCTTGCTACACACGAAACCAATCTGTAAAAGAAAATTAGCAAAACGCCGATGCCACGCCCTTGGAGCCTGTTTCAAGCCATAAAGAGACTTGCGAAGACGACATACATGTGTCGGAGCATTTGGATGGACAAATCCCGGGGGCTGGTGCATGTACACTGTCTCTTTTAGATCACCTTGCAAGAAAGCATTTTTGACATCCAACTGATGAATCGACCCACAGCTATGCTCAAAACAGTGCGAATGGTAGCCGGTCTGACAACCGGACTGAAAGTCTCATCACAGTCAACTCCCACTTGTTGTGAATTGCCATTAACAACAAGTCTAGCTTTATCCCGCTCCAAGTCACGATTTTCCTTGTATTTGTGTTTAAACAACCACATACAACGAATAATGTTCACACTAGAGGGTCTAGGAACTAGATACTACGTATGTTATTTAGTAAGAGCATTATATTCCTCATTCATGGCCGGATTCCAATTCGGGTCTAACATGGCTTTGGTCCTTTAGGAAGAGGAAAGATGGACTGGGTCGCAAGATTAAATTGGACCTTAGTTTTAAAATGGTCATGTTGAGCTCTAGTTTCCATACGGTGTGTAGAAACAAGATTGGACTGCGGTATTGGTGAGGAGGGTGTGGTGGGAATTAGGCTTGGAGGGAATGATCCAAAACGAATCATAGGAGAGCTAGGAGAGTTCGATGGGCTGGCGAATAATGGGCTAGGGGAAGAAGATTTGGGCGAGTTAGGTGGGCCTGCTACATGGGTAGCCTGCAAGTTGGCCGTGGCAGATTAAATAGTCCCACGATCAGCCTGTGAACTATTCTGCCCAGTTGCAGCAAGTGAGGTCGGTTGGGAATGGGGCTGGGCCTGTTGAGGTTGGGTCGTGTGTGCTGGGTCAGCTAGAAGGAAGGGAGTGATACTAGGAGAGTCATCATTCAAGAAATCATAGTCCGAAGTCTTAAACTTTTGGATGTTAGTGAATGGAAAGATTAATTATTCTTGGAATATGACATGTCTTGAAATAATAATTTTATTTGAGGATAAGTCAAAGCAAAGGTAACCTCGATGATTGCTAGGGTATCCCAAAAACACAGAAGGAGTTGATTGGTGCGGGGTGCCAACTTATGGGGTGCCGTTGAGGATAAATTTGGGTAACAAAGACAACCGAAGGTTCGTAGATAATCATAAGTAGGAGTTCTATGGTAACAAATGTCAGTTGGTGTTTTGTTCCCAAGAGTAGAGGTTGGAAGAATGGTCAAGACATAGGTAGCCATATGGACGACATATACAAAAAAGAGGGTGGAAGAGAGGCATGTAATAGCATAGTACGGGCCATGTTGTTAATGGTTCGAATTATTCTCTCGGCCTTACCATTTTGGGAAGACATGTGAGGGCAAGAGAGACAGAAACTCATACCAGTATTCGCACAAAAGGTTTTAAAGGAGTGTTATCAAACTCACGGCCATTATCGGATTGAAAAGTTTTAACTTGTTTTTCAAATAAAGTGTTGACATATGCTCTAATTGAAGAAAAATGGAGTAGACTTGGGATTTGTATTTAATTGGAAAAACCCAAAGAAAATGAGAAAAATCATCAAGAAGCTAGTAAATAATATTTGTGACCCAATTTGCTTTTAATAGAAGATGTCCATAAATCCGTATGAATGATATCAAAGGGAGAAAAAGTAACACTCATTGAAAAATAAAAAGGAACTCTAGTATGCTTTCCCAAAGGACGAGAATAGAAAAAATGGGAATTGTTCCCTTTATTACAATTAATTAAACCATTGTTTCTAAGAAAATTAAAAACAGGTGCTCCCAGATGTCCAAGTCTACTATGCCAAATTGAAGGAGAGATAGCAGCAAGTGAGAGATGTTCATGTTCTCTTGCAGCAGTAGACAAAGAGAAAGGATAAAGGTCCCCCACACTATTACACCTCGCTAGAACCGTCCTCGTATGTAGGTCCTAGTCAAACTCAATAGGAACGGAATTATCACAAACAAACTTCCTGGCCGCGCTGTTTATGGGGATTTATGTAGTTAGCTCCTGGGGATTTATGTAGTTAGCACCGGTTAGGGGTGCCAATTAGGGCTGTCAAACAAACTTCGTTAACGGAATTAGTTTTGAGGTTAGGGGTGCCGCGCTGTTTTTTTTTTTTTTTTTTAAATTTCAATAATGGATCCTTTTATGTACACCAAAAAATGAATTAAATGATGACAATTTTCTAAATGAAATGAAATTGTGGACTACATCAATTTGATGCAGCTAACTAATTAATCAAAGCCAAAGACATGAGCAGGAGCACAAGGAGAGTTCTTCCAAGCCTTAGCATGCATCTTCAAGATCTCTCTAGCCTTCTCCTTTGTCTTTGCCTCACAATCAACTTGTAATACCAAGCACAATTTCGTCACCACCCCTAACTGCACCATCTCCTGCACCACACTCGGACTTCCCGAATATTTCGAAATTGCGTACAATATCTTTATCCCCCTCTCCGTAGCAAAATGAGACACTCTAAGGATTTTCTTTGACACCACAGCCAAACCCGCGGCATGGCCTAGCAACTCGGCCCTTCCCTCAGCACACCCGCTGAGCTGGTCCAACACTGCTAGTACCATTTCAATATTCCTCCTCTCATTACACAACAATAGAAGCTCGATCATTACTGGGACCGCCCCTGCCTCGACAACCCTAATCCTGTTCCTCCCCCAGGGACACGCCAAGGCCAACACTTTAAGCGCGGCCTTGGTAGCCTTAGGGGATACATCATCTTTTATCATTTCGACTACTTCTACAAAATGTTCGCGACTAAATGCAACTAACTGTGTAGGCTCGGCTACTTGCACAAGCTGCTTCATTAGCCCTGCAGCATTCGCTCTCGACTCGTAGCTATTCTTCTGCATGATCCTCACCAATGAATCAACCAACAATCCTTCATTCTCCTTCAACACTTTCTTTAACACCATCTCATCCGATATCTGAAGATGAGATAGTATCCTCAAAGCTTCATCGCTCACACTATTGTAAGTACAATGCTTATTATCTTCATCCGACTCACTAACTACAATCAGACGCACCAAGAACTCGGCAACACCCGGGGTAGTCTCCAAGCAACGCTTGTTAGCACTGCTCCCATAAGCAATAGACTTGAGCTTCTCAAGATTCTTAACAAGGTGGTGAGCCGACGAGTTGGAGGCATCATCAATAAGCTTCAACACTTGTTTTTTCGTAACCGGGGGCTTCGGCGTAGGAAAGCGTTCAACACCATAGGAAGCATTGAGAGTACACCAAGATTGAGCAAGCCTCCTAAGAGTATGATTAGGTGTAAGAAAAAATTCAGAAGAATCAATATTGAGAGATTGTTTAGTAACAGGACAAGTTGTATTATTGTTAGTAAACACCCATTTTTCAATACTTTCACGATCATAAGTAATTCCTGTTGAAACTGTAACTGGATCTTTCATTATTTGTAATGAAATTGGACAAATGAAAAATGGTGGAACATCTATTTCTTCATTGTGATCCATTTTTTTTTTGGGTAATTTTATGGTTGACTTTTTTTTTTTTTTTTTTTTTTTTTGTTTGTTTAGGGGGGGGGGGGGGGGGTGGGGGCGTTTGGTTTGAAGAGTTTGAAGGTTTTTGAAGTAGAAGAGTTTGAAGGTTTTTGAAGTAGAAGAGTTTTTGTTGATGGTTTTAGAAATGGTAAGTTGTGGTTTATATATATAGGGATTGAAAGGAGAGATGAAGTCAAAACACGGAAAATACAAGTAATGAATGATACACATTACTAAGATACCAACTAGAGGGCGACTTTTCAAACTTATTAATTTTGGATGATTCTTTGTATGTGTATCTCATTGTCAATATAATTTAATAATAAAATAAAGATTGATGACTATGTATGCCAATGTAAGATTAGTTTATAATTTTAAATGTATTATTGCTTATAGTTTACTAAGGGTTTGATTTGACTGGAGGTTTATAAAGGATTAGAGTAATTGGAGGTGACGGTGCATGATCGATCTTCTTGCATTGTTTGGAAAGGGTTAATAGATTGTGATGGCGGTTATGCTCGATATGCAATTTTTGTGAAGAAAAGTACTCCATATCTTTTAATTGAATGTTTTTGATAGAGTATATAAATTAATCCTAACCATAAACTTAAAAATTTGCTAGAGTTAGTTTTTTAACATGGCATTAGAGTTAGTGTGACACAAAGGTCACGAGTTCAAATATCATTCACGCGCTCTCATGTGAGGGGGGTGTAATAGAGTATATAAATCGATCTTGAATTTCAACCAATAAGCTTACACTTTTTCAATTCGTATAAGAAGTGGGGATAAAAATAAAACCATTATCATTTACCATTACCATTACCATTATCATATATGTCCGAGTAGCATAAGATAGGTAAGTTATTTTGTGTAATTTTTTTCATCTCTTTGATCAAGTCATCAAGTGGCTTTATTTATTGCATTGTTGGTAGTGTCTTATACTACCTCCGTTACATATTATGTGCAACTTTCCAAAAAATTTCATTTTTAGTAAAAATTTTAATGAAATTACTAAAGTACCCTTATTTTAAACATTTCAAGTACAATTAACTCTTTAAATCAAAACTCATTAAGTAATTAATCCAACTTAATTAATCTAATTGTTTATCCCTAATTTAATCCAAACCTCAAACTATTTTTGATTCACTCCACTAAATTCATCAACACCTCCCAACATCCCTCAAATCTCATCTCCTCTTTCTTCGTTCATCTTTTCAGATCACCTTCGACCACCACATCCGGCCACCACCGCTGGCCACGCCTCCGCCTCCACTGTCGTCAAGGGCCATGTCCTCCGCCCACTTGTTAACCCTAACTACCGCCCATGCCTCAAACACCTGCAACGAGAGCCATGTCCTCGACCGACCATGTTAACCCCATCTTCCGCCCACGCCTCAGCCATTGCGAGAGCCACCCTCTGTTGGAATAAAGAAAGGAAATCAAAGTAGTTTGACCCGGGCACCCGATCAGGCAAGCACTGCCCGACCGGGCTCGAGAGGAATCGTAAAAAACTAGAGTTCCGTCACCCGACCGGGCGAGCACCGCCTGATTGGGCACGAGAGGAATCGTAAAAAACTGGAGTTCCGTCACCCGATCGAGCGCGAGAGCAACCCAGAATTTGTCTGGGTGCTCGCCCGACCGGGCGCGAACTCGACTGTTGGACTCTAATAGCTTTCTTGGATTCTTTTCTTGTTTTATTCCTTGTAACCCCCATTTAAGAGGGTTTATGGTGATTAAATCACCATGGTTATTTCTGATTTTTGCTCCATTGACTTCTCCTTGATCTTCCATCTTCCTTCATTCTTCTATATATTTTGAAGGCTGATTTTTCTGATTAGTACACTGAAAATTATAAACACAAGCTAAACACATTCTTCCTTGGGCATAAGTTTTCATAGACTCCCCCTCTCACTCTAAAGTGCCTTAGTGTGAGAGTGGTATGTAACCTTAGGGGACGATCAGGCGATTACAATTGTGCACCCCACTTACGCCGGAATTCGTTTTCAGTGATTTTTCACGCCACACCGAATTTCCTCTTTTGCTTTTGTTCTTGTTTAATTTTGTTGACTATTGTTTTAGACACCAGTTTTTACAACACCCTCCACCACGCCTTTTCATCCGCTTAAAACCAAGTGAAGGCTGGCGTCAATCTCATTCAATCTACCAACGGTTTCAAGTTCCCTTTCTTGATCTCTGTCTTAATTTTAATTAAAAAAAATTGAATTTTTTTAGATCTAGTGGGTTTCAAGCTAGATGGGATGATTTCGCCGTTTCGGGACACAAGTAGGTTGCTCTTGGTTGGGTTTCTCATGTGTCTCGGGGTGAGTGGGTGTGGATTTTGGATGGCTGTGTATGTGGTAGATGGGTGTGGGGTGGGTTTTGGGTGTTTATGGTTTACGATTAGAGGTGGTTTTCGGGTGTTTTAGGTGGGGTAGAAGGGTGGTAGAGCAGCGGTGGTTGGGGTCGAGTAGAGGGGTGGTGGGGTTTCAGGTTGGCCAGTGGTGAGTTTCGGGTGGTTAGGTTGGGGTTGTGGTGGTGCGTGTACCAGTGGTTGGTGCTGATGAGAGTGGTGTTGGTGGTGGGGTGGTGGTGGCGGGGGTGTTGGTAGTGGACCTGGTGGTTGTTTATTAATATCTCACTTTCTCTCTTAACTTAATTACATACAATTATCTTTCTTAAACAATACTTTGCATTTTTTGTCTAGAGTACATGCCGTAGTAATTATTATTTTAAATAAGGTGTGGTCCGACACCTTCTTTGTTTGGCCTTAGCAAAAGATCTTGCAGTATCTAGTTATCTACTATAGTATCAACTCTTCCTACGTTCCTAGAAGGTGGGAGTTGGCTCTACCATCGTACCATGATGCTTCTAATATACGAAGTAATAAACTTTTATTTAATTGTGATTGAGAGTCCTTTTAATGAAACTAGCTGACTTAATTGTTAAAAAGATACAGATCGGAGAACGTATTAAAATAATCATTATAAAATTTGGGGTATTTTTTGAGGTGGGTCAACGCTGAAAAATTAGGTTAATGATGGAAATTTGGCTAAAGATAGTATTTTATAACATTTTACCTTGTATAAGGTAGTTTCTTATAAGAGTAATACTTTTTTTTATTTAGTAGTTTCTCACAAAATTAGGGTTTTATTAGGTAGTTTTTCACAAAAAAAATCCTTGTTATATTGCTAAAGGTGACATAAGGGTAATGGCTGATCTTATGATGACACATTACATGCATTGACCATTCATTATAGATTAAGGGGTCGTTTGGTTCGCACAGGGAAATCGGAATGAAATAAACAAAGGGAATGAAGGAGAAAGGAATGGATTGACCTTAATTTAGCCAGGTAGTTTGGTTGTGTCCAGGAAACGGAATGAACTGCTCATTGATTCCCTTTGTAACTGTTTGGTTCAAGCCGGGGAATCAAATTATGAGTATTTAAATTTTTTTTAATTTTTTCCAACAGTAACCTGTTATTATATGATAAACTTGTTTCTTCATGAATTTACCTTTTCTTCTTGAAAGGAGTATGATAATTCATGAAAAAAAATTGAAGATCGGTAAATTTAAACAAGAAATCATCCAACATTAAATAAAAATAAAAAAAGGTAAATTCATGGACCACTGTTCGTCATTGCCAAACAAAAAAAAAAAAAAAAAAAAAAAAAAAAAAAAAAAAAAACAAAAACAAAAAGTAAATTCATGAAAAAAGGTATAATTCATGACAAAAAATTGAAGATTGGTATATTTAAACAAGAGATCATCCAACATTAAAGGAGAAAAAAAAAAGGTAAATTCATGGAGCCATTATTCGTCATTGCCAAAAAAAAGAAATAAAAAAAAAAATTAAAAAAAAAAAAAAGAAAAAGAAAAACAAACCCTTGACAAACGTACATCACTAGTATCAATTACACACCATAATTCAACAAAAATAGGAATAAAGTGTAGTTTCCTCAACAATTCATGAAAAAAGGAAAACAAAAAGACTAGATTAAGGTATAAAACATGAATAAAAAAGAACAAGAACATGACAAAAGATGGTCGGATATCGTCGTTGGTGGACGTACATTGTCAGAAGCAGTCGGAGATCGTCGTTGGTGCATGCAGATCGGCGATGGGAGGGCACTGACCGGTCGCTGATGATGGGCTAACAACCTAGTGGCTAGGACGCCGGTAGTCTGGCGGGGGAGGGGGGCTCCGGCAGGAGAGGAAAGGGGATTTTTTATTTTTTTATTCCTTTATTTAATTATTAAAAAATACTACCTCCGTTTTTTTAGTTGACGCGTTTTGACTTTAACATTATTCACATACTTCCTTTTGACCGTATTTTATGCTTTATACGTAATGGAAAGTATAGACATGTGAGTTATTATTAGATTCGTCATGATATATATTTTCAGAAAAACAATAATTTTTGCTTATCGGTAGTTAAAGATATTAATGGTTTAATTTGTGCATTGGTAAATGTGGCTAAAGAAATGTGTCAATTAAAAAGAAACGAGGGAAGTATAAAAAAAATAACCATGGTTATTTATTAGATTGATTAACTAATGTCACCATTGAATCAATAGCAATAATACATGAGTATCAAACTAAGATAATTTGAAATTTTTGATGTTCACCAAAGAGAAAATTAAAAAACTGATGAGCAACATACACTACTAGAATTAAGCCGAATTCTGACGGATAAGAATTTCCGTCGGAAAAGTCAGAAATTCCGACGGAATTTTATTCCATAGGAAATCCGTCGGAATCTTCAGACGGAACATAAGTCCGTCGGAATCTTCCGACGGAATATAAGTCCGTCGGAATATATGGGCTTTCCGACGGAATATTCCGTTGGAACATTCAATTTCCGGCGGAAAATATATTCGTCGGAAAGGTAAATTTCCGATGGAGTTTATTTATTTCCGACGGAATTATGATTTTTTTTTTTAAAAAAAACGGAACCCTAACACCCCATTTTCCTCTTTCCTCCACCATTTTCCTCTTCTTTCTCTCTCCTCTCCTCTTTCCTCTTTCCTCCTTCCTTCGCCATTTTCCTCTTCTCCTTCTCACTTCTCCTCTCTTCTCCTTCTCCTTCTCCTTCTCACACCAACAACAAAACCACCAACATCACCACTGCCTACAACGCCACCACCGCAACAACCACCTCCTTCCTTTCCTCTTCCCCTCTTTCTTTTCATTTTCGATTTGGGTTTTTTGGGGTTGCAATTCAAAGTAAATTCAAGACTTTCAATGAAAATCAAGGTTTTCATGTCAAATTCGACCATGAAAACTCTATATTAGAGTTTTCATGGTCGAATTTGACCTTG